TGAAGACTTGAATCTCAACCTTTCTTTTTTGTTACAGATGGGTTGATTAAACAATGTGATTGCTACATTGAACAACAGTATGCAACCTAAAGAAGCTGAAAAGGCCAGTCCTGCTTTTGAATGCCAAATCTATTTGTGCCATGCTGTGGAATGATTGATCTGAGAAGCTTTCTATATGAATTCGAGGTGGGGGTGGGTAGACAGGCCTTCCTCTAGCTTTACCATTACTCTGACAGCGATGGAAACTGAACCTTGGCTTCTGTAGCTATTTTATTTACTGTTTTTTGAAGGATAGATCAACATATCCACCCACACATACTCTGCAAACCCCTTTTTCAAACTCCAACTCTTCAACAGATTTTGGCCAACAACTACATCTCACTTGCATACATACACATTAGATGGCAGCCAAGAGGTTTTAAAAAAGCCTTATAACTCTGTACTGTCAACTAGTGGTAAAAGGGCTGACTAGTCAATAATTGATAATCATGCGGGGGAAATTATGTGGAAAAATTAAATGAATCCCATAAGCTACACCTCTCATATCAAAACATGAAGAATACATATGCATCAGCAACACTAATTCAGGTGGCCTCCATATTGCAGTCAAGAGATGCAATCTGTTTGTTGCTACTTAATGGTCATTAGTGGGCAACAAAGATTTTGCTTCATGAACACTTTTAGGTATATCTTATAGGAAGCACTTCTTGTCCAGTGTAGTCTTTTGAAAAGGAAAAGCATAGACAAAATTTATTGGATAAACCTGGATACTGGAATCAATACTTTTAGATAGCTCACTGGAACCACTACTAATATAGCCAAAAGCCTAAAACAAATATTTTGGACACCTAACATAAAAGCAACAGTCACTGAAAGTGAACTTGATGTTGGGAAAAATCAAAGGCTAACAAAATGCAAGGTCGTTAAAAGTTGTCACTAATGTCATACAAGAACTCAAAAAAGTACATATTGACAAAGAGTCCTGGTGAAATGATATCCAACGAATCAGAGAAAGTTGGAAGTAACTGGACAAGAAGAAAAAGTGATTATTTGGATTTTGACAGCCCAAATAAAATTGCTTTAAATTTGGTATCAATACCAAATAGCTGACTCGTAACAGCTGTATGACTGCCAGTCATTTTCAGTGACAAGTCAGGAACAGAGAATAAAGGCAGAAGTTGGGTTTAGAATTTAAGGTGCATAGGACATAGGATAGAGTTATTTCTTTAAATGAATACTCATTTAGAATGTATCTGTTGAATTGGAGAATCTTTTAAAACAAACACATTTTATCAAAAGACATAAGCTTTGATGAACAATAGCTCACTTCATTAGATGCTTGGAGTGGCTAAATTGAAGTAGGATTCAAACTGGAATGGGGTGGGAAAATGTTATCAGAATCTTATGAAGAATAGGCTTTACTTCACAATAATCTCCTGGCCTTGAATGAAAAAAAAATGCCCTTCCTTGTATTTTAATTTTACATTTGCTATTTGTTAGCAAGCACCTGCTGCCTCCTCCTTTAAGATGTTGAGTTGAAGGGTCAGTCTAGGCAAAATGCCAGGAATTGAAGTCACCTCTTTATAGCTAGGCTTGAGACTTCCTGTTATTGTAATAATTTCCTCAGGAAACCTGGCCACCACACATGTTCTGGAACTCTCCAGAGATTTTAATTTATTGTTGCTTGGGCAGCCAAAATAAATTATAATATTTCATTCTACACCATTTGTCAATTCAGTAAGTTGGATCCTTGATATTGCATAATTTATATAAAGTTAGAAATCTAGCTTTCTCCTTGAATGTTGTTGTCATAGTGATGCAATATTGGCCCCTTGGTCATATCAACTGGTACTGTAATTAGGTTGTAGGGTAGAACACAATTTTTGTGTGTGCATTTACATCTTTTTAAACAATTTGCTGTACTTTGAGCAATTGAGAAATCATGTATCCTTGCAAAACAATAAAAAGAATCTCTGTGAATTATCAAAATATTGCTGCTGCTACTATTACTTTTCTTTCTTTTGCACTGAATTTTGTGAAAACTCCTATATCTGTATGATATAGCAGGGAGAATTCAATTTCCCAAAACAAATAACATAACAGTAAAATTAATATTGGCAGGAGAGTGTTGCCACTTTATCAGTAGTGTTTCACAGAGACTACCAAAATACACGCATGATAAAGAAACAATTGCATTCTAATTATCAATCACAGCTGAAGGGAGAACTATATTTCCCTAGTGGGAAAATATAACAGTTTGAGGGACTGAGAATGGCTACCATGTCTGGAAAAAAATGTGATCTTGGCTATGAACATCAGAACTTAACAATTGTTTATATCCTTGTATCTACAAAATATTGGTATGCTGTCTCACAAAGAATAATTGGATTTTCAGTTCATAAAACAAGCATCTAAGGAGAACATTAGAGGGTGTATAAAATTGTAAACAGTATGGAAAAGTGATTCTCCCTCTTATTTTATAATACAATGGCTGGATTCACAAATCACATCAAAGCATGGGTTTGATTGATTTTTGCTTAATGAACAGCATGAACCCTACAGCTTGTAAAGCATGGTGTACAGTTCAGTGTTACATAAATACAGCCATTTGAAGCTGATTCACTAAACCACGGATAAATAAAATATAATTTAATACGGTGTGTGAGCAAGGTCTATATGCAATTGTTTCTGTATCATGCATGTATTTTGGTAGTCTCTGTGAAACACTACTGATAAAGTGGCAACACTCTCCTGCCAATATTAATTTTATTTTATGTTATTTGTTTTGGGGAAATTGAATTCCCCCTGCTATATCATACAGATATAGGAGTTTTTTTTTACAGAACAAATCAAAATGCTTGCTTAGTTAACAATAAAAATGAACTGACAAATTCAAGTAGCATAGATTTATTTGCTACAAAAATGAAGTGGAACTGCTTTTTATATGAGTCAAGGCTAAATAGAATCTATGAATGCACAAAACAATAACATTTTTAAAATAAAAATGCTGTAGTAGATTGAGCTGGATTTGTTTCAGCAAGGTAATTGCAACAAAAGAATTATTATTATTTATTATTATTATTATTATTATTATTATTATTATTATTATTATTATTATTATTATTCAGTGATTTGGCCTGGGAAATCTACTTCACAGATTTGATGGCACATTACCAAGAAGAAAAGTATTTTCATAATATATGAGGCATCAGTTCTAGCCCTCAAAGGCTGCTCTAGATTGGTCCTAATTTGTGTGGGATCTGAAACATTTCACGTTATGAAGAAGCTCAAGATTTCAATCATTTAATGAAATGCTGGTTCCACTGGAGCAGCACAACTATAACTATTTCCACTAATTTCAAGGAAGTCAGGCTGATGAATTACAGTGACATTAATTCACTTTGTGTTAATACTAGGGCTTAAAATTAAAGACCTGCTTCCATTTTGGGCTTAAGCACAGCATTATGAAATGGATAAATTTGGCATGTTATATCAAGCAGCATGGCTGTGGGAGTTAACAGGATACAGAGCTATAAGAGACAAAGATTTCCCAATAACTACATTTTTTTTTTTTTTACTTTCAGGACAAATACCAAACTGGGACAAGGTGGAAAAGGATAGGATTATAAATCAATACTTAATATTCATTCTTAATTAGTAAAAATCTTTATTAATCTATAGAATATCCAATTTCTGAGATACATTTTTAAAAAAAAAATCTTTAAGAATTTTATCCAGTACCATTTTTAAAAAAAGCTAAACTATCAAGACCTAGTTACTGGAGGCACGCTTACAATACCTGTTGCAACAAAAATAAACTTAAGTGTTGCTTAAATGTATTTATTTCCACACTGATTTTTAGGCAATTTTCAAATAGCTGGCTTATAGCATAAAGGTAATATAAGTATTTGTACGGGGAATTCTGGAGGTTGAAATCTACACATCTAGCTATAGAATATGGCAGCTGTGAGGGAATGACATCCTGAAGTTCTAGTCACATACAGGTAGTCCTTATTTAGCAACAATTGGGACCAGCAACTAAGTCATTAAGTGAACAAGCGGGTAAGTGAAATCACAACTGTGCTTATGATTGTACTTAGCTTTCCTTTGCTTTACAGATTTGTGAAGATTGTAAATGTGAGAATTGGTTGTAAAGTTATTTTTTCATCGCTGTCATAACTTCAAACAGCCATTAAACAAGGTAATTGTTAAATGAGAACTATTTATAGTCAGTGTCTGATATAAGATCTTCACAATTTCTAAATATCTATAAAAACAATCTGATAAACCACATCTGTTTTGAAGTGAATCAGACTTACTGGTTAATTGTAGTGTTTTCTAATTGTGCTAATTTTACGTTATTTCCCCAGTTATGACTTATAGTATCTTCAAGACAAAACTGACACTGACAAAATTACAGCAATGAAAACGCTATAAGTCTCTAATGGGAAAAATGACCTTAATCAGTGACTTTGGGTTTTATATATTATCCAACTCCTACCCTCGCAACACAGAAATGTTTTTTTTCTCAGAATGATCTTGTGAATTAATCAAAACCGTCCAATGGCTTCACATATAATTAGTCGTAATCCAGATTGTTGATTCCAAAATTATAAAATAATGTCTTGATACTGTTCCTAAAGTTTAACAAAACTGAATAAACTTAACTTACATATAACTAGCCAAACCACAACTGGAAGGATTATTGCCTTATGAGATGTGGGAGATCATCTAGCCTAATCTGACACAGGCAAAATATTTAAAGCTAAAGAAATTTGTTTAGGCAGCCGATTATCTTTTATTAGTATGGATGGATGAAATAAGTCTAAGCTCTAGTTAGCCAAAGAATACTGTACTTTACAATGCTGGTTTTTCTTTTCAATATTCTCTTTAATACAAGCACTTTTCCAGCCCCTTGCCAGGAGAATAAAAGACTCTCCAGGCTGGAAACAGGCACTTCAGTAAACCAAGGATGTGAAGCTTAGGCCTAACTCCTCACACATTTCCTTCCTGCAATTAGAAGGGAAGGCTCTGGGAGTCCAGATACGGTTGCGAAGTGTAAGGAAAAGGAGTTCCCTCCACATTGCAATCCTTCAATCCAGGCTGGCCGCCTAATTCCTGTTTCCGCTCCCATTGTGGAGCCGAGAGTCAAGATGCGAGGGCTGATCTTCGCCTCGCTCGCCCTCTTGCCGCCTTTCTTGGGCCTCTGGGCCTCTGCCGAGCTCCCTCAGAGGGGCCACACTTGGTGTCAGGCATCCGGGACCTGCTACAGCATCCACCTAGGCCGCATGAACTTTTACCAGGCTCAGAATGCTTGCGCTCAGCACGGGGGAGGTTTGAGCACGGCCAGCGGCCGCACCGAAGTCGGGGTCATCCTAGCTCTGCTGAAAGGACTTGCCAGCGAGACGGGCGGCTCTTTGTTTTGGCTGGGCCTGGTTAAGAAACCCCAGCAGTGCACCCTTCAAGATCTGCCGCTCAGGGGGTTCTCCTGGGTCTCCCCGGGGCTTCACGAGCCGGGGGCGAACGGGACCACCACGCCGCCCAATTGGCTCAGAGAACCGAGCAAGTCCTGTACTATGCAGAGATGCGCTGGGCTGCAAGTCAGCTTGGGCCAACCGCACCTGAAACCGTGGGGCCTGAAGGACCACGGATGCACCAAGGCGAGCCCTGGTTATATCTGTAAATACAGCTACGCGGGAACGTGCCCCACCCTCCACTCTGGAGCGCTGGGAATGGTCTACAGGCTGCCTTTTCAACTTCAAAGCCCGGCCGCGGAATTCAGCCCTCCCGGCACCGAGCTTACTATAGGGTGCCCCGGGCGAGAGGCGCGTTTCACTTGCCGCCTGTCGCTGAACGGCTCCCATTGGGAAGGCACCGAGCAGAACCTGTGCTCCTGTCCCAGCGGCTACTGGAGTCCGAGCAGCGGAGGCTGCGCGCTATTTTCGGACTGTTTTAGTGCCCAAGGCGCGTTCCGTTGTTTATGCGCTTGGAGATCCCGCTTGGCGGCAGACGAAGAGAGTTGCGTCGCGCCAGCCAGAGATGGCGCAACGACGGTGAAGCCCGCCGTTTCTACTCCGAGGGCTACGGGAACTTTCCCTCCGAATAGCACTACCGGGCTTGGTCAAAATATATCGTTTCTGGAATCATTTACTACTCCGATCGACAACAGAACCACCAAGCATTTGGCTTCTTCAAACGCCTCCAACTATATCTTCATCCTGATCACGGTGGTGGTGGTGATTCTTCTGATTATGGTCATGGCCTCGTTCCAGGTCTTCCAGGCATGCTTCAAGAACTGCTCTTCCAACAGTTCCCAGCCTACAAAAGATGGTGTTGTAGTTGTAGAAGGCGATCCAGAAGCCTCTGTCACCCGCACCAACTCTGAACATTCCCTGGGACCCAGCAAAGCAGAGTCCATAGCTTCTCAGGAAGACTTTAAACCAGCCGAATTGGGACAACTATAAGGAGGCTGGAAAGAACATTTGGAGAAGAAATCTGGTGGGGGATGAAAAGGAGATATTCTTTTGAATACAATAAATATTAGCAAATGTTTACAGGTTATATATGTAGAAATAAAAGTTACATTTTTTTGTTTGAAGGCAGTTATGTTTTTGTTTGACACTATTTGATGAATTAGAATGATTTCTTTTTTTGAGGTGCCCTTGACAACGTTGATCAGAAATCACTCCTCCCCACCATCTTATTCCCTAAAATAGAAGAGTTAGAAGGATAAGAAATGGCAGTTCATATTTCTTGCAGTGATCCAGCTAGATAATTGAAAAATGAAGTGCTGCAAGTGACTGTGCTGTGTGAGGGCCACCACTTACTTGATTGTAGAGTCTCTATCTCTCCTCCCCCTTCCGTTACTGCAGCTGAGACCAGGCTGTATGAATAGTGTTGTGTTGCCTGGGGGAAAATTCAGGGAGTCGCTGCTAATTATATCTACTCTTGTTGAATCTTGCAAAAATTGGGACTGGGTGCACAGGCTCTGCTGTCGCTGCCATATTGTCTATAGGGAGAAGAGAACAAGCTAGTAGAACTGAATATGGTTGTAAGAAATTACTCCTGTAGGTGATAATAGGAGGATAGGAGCAAAGGGTGGAATGGAACTATGGCTTCTGTACACTATTACTTTTATCATTTAACTTTCTTATTTTAAACCCTCAAATATAATTCTGATTTTTAAGGTATTAATGGCAAGACTTAATCAGAAACCAATTGAGTGTTGGAAGTGCCTTACATCTCATTCGAATGTGCTGGGTATCTATCTAACACAGTAATGATATAGCTGTTTTTTTGGAGATGTGTCCCATTGAATCAAAGAGAACGTATTCTAGATAGACATATAGGATGGCTCTCTTAAGTTCATCTTATTTTGAATGTTTTGTTTCCTTGAGTTCTTACTTGAGTGTCTTGGGTATTCTACTATACATGCATGTCCAGATCAATTTGTCTGGCTGAAAAAGGGATCTGAAAAAATGCAGTTCTGTGGCTTCATGGGCTCCTTTAAAGGAAGAAATGTTGACCAGTGCTTAATTTTTATGATATAAAGTTTTGTGTTCCAACTTGCTTAAATGGAAATTCTCCAAATAGACAGAGCAGTTTTCAAATATTTCTCATTACTAGCATACATTAGTTCAATGTTATGAAAAGCATTGCACATCACTGGTTTCAAATATGTCACTATTTAATAGATGGCTTAAATGATCATTTTAATTTCTTCCATCTCACTTTTCTAATGAATTGAACTTGATAATTCAACTATTTTCTAGATGTCTTGCTCCTTAGATGTGTCAGGTAATAACCAGGAAGAGATCCTTGGCATCTAACTCATTCCTTGGTTGAATTTTGAATTCTTTTTCCAAAATGGAGAAAGATATTTTCTTTTTTCCACTTCTTAGTAAATATTTTATCTGTGAATTGACTGTGATGCTGCATTCATCACTTGCTTTTCATTATATGAATATGATATAGTTCTGGATTTTATATAACTAACTTTTTTTAGTGATGAATTTAATGTGAGACACTTTAGAAAATTCAGGAAATTCAAGGAAAAGGTAGGATATACATTTATAAATTTATTACTATAACTGGAACACCAACAATTGAAGGAGATTTGGAGATTTGGTGCCTTACTCCTTCACTGTAAAATATCATGGAGAGGTCAGTTTGAAAATAAACCCAGTAAGGTCAGGAACAAAGAGACACTATTTAAAAGAAATGTTGAGCATCTTTTAGCAGTTTTATTTCAAATGGAGAAGTAGAAAGGTCAAACTCTCTTGTTCTGCTTTTATTAAGAACACCTAAAATTGAGCATTTCAACCAGATAACATTTTAAAGTCTGTGAACCAGTATTCAAAAACTTCATATACAGACCTATAATTGGAAGCAGCTAATTTTATTCAGAAAAGACTGGAGGTCCAGTGATCCAAATTGCCATGAATTGAGTATAAGACAACCTAATAATCAGATTATCATAGGATAGGATTATCATTATAAATCTGAAAGTGGATATCAGATATATTGTGGGCAGAAATATACCTGTAGGATATGAATGCTTTCATTTGGAATGTGCCAGAACACATGTTGTGAGGGTTAGAATAAATGTTCTTTGCTATTGAATAAACGGGCAGGCAGGTCCATGTAGGAATAGTTTAGCAGGGGCAGAGAAATTAAAGCCTATGGGAATACTAGATCTTATTTTTCTCCTCCGTATTTTTTTCCCCATTCTGCCTGCTTTTTCTTCTGGAGCTCCAGATACACTTTTGCGTCTTAAATATGGACCTAGAGTATTTTAGTTGATTTAGTAACTAAAACCTATCATTGCAGTCCAATTGATTTATGATTCAGATACATGGGGATTACTGAGAAAAGATACAAATGTTTCACATATAAAATGTTCATATATTTATCTTTAATATAAATTCCTGAAGGATATGTACTGATTATGCTAAGTTTTTAAGATCAGAAGGCCATGGAAAAAACAAAGATTTTCTACTGGGAAAATAAGTGTTTTGGTTTTCCACAGCAAATAAAATGCTTAGTGACTAAGATTGAACTATACTTGCAATTTTGACCCAGGAACAGTTTTGAATATTCTTAAACAATATACTGCTAACTGGAGAAAACTCAAAATACGGATGCATTTTGCTTATGGAATCATTGTGTCACTTATCCAGTGTGGTTTGTGAAGATTCCGTCTTGCCTGACAACTAGAAAATGTTGTTATTGTTTCATTATACAAAGAAAAAGAGAGCAATTATGAAAATAAAGACTATTATATGGAGAAATTAGTAAATTTGTTTTTGATAAAATGTCTTAGCGTGAGAAAGTTTACTGCATGTTTGTTGATTTAGAAAAACTATATGATAAAATGAATATAATGGAATTCAGAAATGGTTTGCATGAATAGGGAGTTAAAATTGTTGATGGATGCTGAATGTGACATATTGTATGATGGAAGTAAAACATGCACAATAATAAAGGCATCTTAATAATTCAACATTGAACAGAGCGTAAGACAAGGATGTCTTATTTCCCCTTGGTGGTTATAATTCCTTAATGTATAAGGAATACTTGTCATGATATTAGAGGTCTGTTGGCTAGGCATGTGAATAATTGTGTACTTTTGTGTCCAAACAATGTTGAATCTTGGCTGAAAACCTGAATGCTTTTGCAATGAATGTTAGATATATTGCCTGATATGTCAAGGACTATGGATCTGAAAATTAAGATAACAAAGCCCAAGATAATTGTATTTGACAGGGAAGATGGCGAGAATGATGGCAAGTTACACATAAATGTGAATTAGTATATTTCTATACAGTATGTACGAAAAATGGGGAGAAGCTGGAGAAATGTTAAGACATGCAAATGCTAGTAGAGATAGTGGATAAATACGTGTTTGGTACAAGGAAAAATGTTAAATAAAGGAATAGATAATGGCTGTGAATAAGAATGTGCTTCTCATTTTACTATATCAATGTTTCTCAACCTTGGTTACTCTAAGACAAGGGTCTTCAAACTTGGCCCTTTTATGACGTGTGGACTTCAACTCCTAGAATTCCTCAGCCAGCCACGCTGGTTGAGGAATTCTGGGAGTTGAAGTCCACAAGTCATAAAAGGACCAAGTTTGAAGACCCCTGCTCTAAGATCTAGGATTTCAATTCTAATATTCATAATATTCAGACCCATATGGTGCTTCCTTCAACTCCTAGAATACTCCAGCTGGCCTACAGTAATTCTTAAAGCTGCTGAGGTTGAAAAACACTGTTACATTGTATGAAAATTGGATCTGAATATGTTGGAAGAAGCATAAAAGAAAGTTGAATGTAGTTAAAATGGTTTACTTAAAACATCTATGGTTAAAGAACAGTGGAGGTAATGGATGAATGTGGATTGTACACAAAAGCAGGGCTTTTTTTTCTTATAGAATGCCCAGAATGGAGTTCTGGCACCTTTTTTGGATGGAACCTTGTAGGGTAGGCAAGGCAGGTTGTATGACATGTGTGAGTTCCGGCACCTTTTTTTTTTTTTTTTTTAGAAAGAAAGCACTGCACAAAACTATGAACATATGAAAGAAGTATGTGAAGATGGCTTGTTAGGTAGAGGAAAAGGAGGATGATCAAACTGCAAAGCAAATGAAGAGTGAGTAGTGGGCTAAAAGAAAAAAATAGATAATCACAGTTAGATGAAGTTGAAATTGAAGATGAGGTTCAACAAAAAGAACTAGAGAACAAAAGGCAATCTAAAGTGAATACATGTATATGGAAGCAAGAATGGTTTGGGAGATATAACATGGTGTTGGTATAAATCAGGTTTGGCTGTATTTTCTTAACATATGGCTTAATTTCTTATCATATGCCTTTATTTTATTTTATTTTATTATTTTATTTGTTCTTTTTTGTGCTTTTTATAATGTTTCTTACATTGAGAGGTAATAGAATGTTGAATATGTATGAACATACTAATTTTATGAAATCTACTTTATCCTATGCAAATTTGTGCCTTAAGCCTTTCTAATCCAATATATATTTACCTTGGTTGAACTGTATCTACACACACACACACACATACCTAATAAATTTAGAACTAAGCATTATAAAAACCAAGGGTTGTTACTGATACAGCTATCATTTTTCATTCATAATATTCAGACCCATGTGGTGCTTCCTTACTACTGGAAGGGCAGGTGAAAATCCTATGCATTCAGGAAAGGGATGTATCAGATATTAGAATTCGTGGAATGGAAGGAAATTCCTGGATTAGAGCTATAATTTTGTGCTTAATTTTATATAAAAGTGCGTAGATCTGCAGCATGAAACCCTAATCTAAACTAAAATGATTTTTCAGCAAAATTAGTAGAATTATTTCCAGTCCATATAATGACTAGAAAGTGAGAAAAAATATTGTTCAAATTTTTTTTTTAAAAAAAGCTGGTATCAAATAAGCAAAGGCTGCTTACTGCACAGATAAATTTATGCACTGTTTATATATTTACATTCACTGGAAGTTATTTGGATTCTCAGCCAACAATGTGCTATTATCAACATATAAAGTGCACACATGTCTTCTTCAAGCAACATACTCCTTACATAATTTAAATGCATTCCTAATACATTTGTCCATATACTTACTAAGCAAGCAATAACTGGACTCATAGATACTGTTTTCCATTGTCCATCATGGCTTCAAACAGTCAAAGTTTTCATATAACACTTTATAGTAAGATAGCAAAGTGTAGAATACAACCTTGTACCCATATAACATGCATAATTCCCTGCTTATGTAAGAACAACACTAGTAGGTTTTGGATATTTTAGCCAGTATGCCACAAACATAACCAAATCCCTGTAGGACTTTCTTTAACATAGAAACTTTATTTGGCTCTAAGAAAATGCATACAGGACCCCTCCAATGTGGGATTTCTACATCCTTTCTGGGGCACCCAAAAAGAAAAATATTCAGCAATATTATTAATTAATATTATTAATAATATTATTAATATTAAGCAACTTCACTACTAGCATTAGAGGAATTGCAATAGTACAGACACACAAGTAGCAAAGTTGCCCACCCTTTGTATAAATCCCTATGCAAGTTTAAATGGGGCAGAGCTTCCATCACAAAACTGCTCAAGATGTCTGGCAAGTTTTGCTCCCTCTCTGACAAAGGCTGCTGATAGACAGTACAAAAATAACTTTATATAACAATAAACTGTTAAACGCATTGAGGTGAATCTACCCTTGGACACTGCAATCTTCATGAATATGAGTCAGTTGCGAAGCATCTGAATTTTTATCACGTGACCAGGGGGATGCGACAATAGTCATAACTGTGAAAAATGACCATAAGTCACTTTTTTCAATGCTGTTGTAACTTTGAACGGTCTCTAAATGAATTGTTATAAGTCGAAGACTACCTGTAATAAGGGGCTGCCTTGAAGACATCTGGAAGCTGCAGTTAGTCCAGAATGCAGTAGGACATGTACTTTTGGATGTCCCACTGTTCATCTGAGTATCTCCACTGCTGTATGACCTGCATTGACTTCCAGTTACTTTCCGGGTGCAGTCCAAGGTACAGGTTATCATCTTTAAAGTCCTACATGGCATGGGACCAGGTTGCTTGCAGGACTGCCTTTCCCTGGGGGTATCTGCCCATCCTGCTAGGTTAGCTAGAATGAAAGTACTTCAGGTCCCCTCTCTTAAATTTGCCACCTGATGGATCTTAGAGCCTTCTTGGTGGCTGCCCCAGTCCTTCTGAACAGCCTCTCACTGGAGATCAAGGGGATCCGTCCCTGTTTTGGCTTCTGGAGGGCTGTGAAGACCTGGTTCTTCTCCTAACCATTGGGCTAGAAGGTGGGAGAAGGTGATAGATGATAGCTAGATGGTAGAAAGATACTGTGTTTCCCCCAAAATAAGACCCAGTCCTATATTTTTTGCTTCCAAAAGAAGCACCAGCATGATGCATATGTGGTGTCCTGCCACAAGTGGCAGCATCAGCATGATGTGCCATGTGGCCTGCCGCGAGCGGTGGTACCTGCACAATGTACCACATGGCATCTCACTGCAAGTGACCATAAGTGGCCACAAAAGAAGCCAGGCAGCGGCGCAACATATGTCAGGCCGTGGGAGATCTGGCTGCGGTTGTCCTAAGGTAAGCTCCATCCCCACCCCCACCCTAGCTTGATTTTTACACTTGCGCCTCACCCCACCTCATACAACCAGACGATGGGATGGGGTGGGTGGGGTCTTAACTAGGGCTTATTTTGAGGGCAGGTCTTATATCAAGTGCACATGTGAAAATCAAGCTAGGGCTTATTTTCAGGATAGGTCTTATTTGGGGGAAAACAATAGATAGATAGATAGATAGATAGATAGATAGATAGATAGATAGATAGATAGATAGGATGTAGAAAGTCCCCATCCCTGTCAAAATGCCAGGTTTTTGAGATGTAAACAAAACAGACCAAGATAAGTCACTTCAGAATTTCTTCCACCTTTAATATAGCATATAAGCGGTATAATTTAATTAAGCTGAATGACCCCGTTGGTAACTAAACTTTCACTCATTCTGTTTCCCTCTTCAGCTCTTTCATGGACCCTCAAATTCTGTTCTAAGAAGTTGGAAGAGCCTTTGGAATAGATCTGGATACATAGCACAGTAGAAACAGCTTGCATATGGATTCTGCTCTTAATTTTTTTCCTGAAAAAACCCCAACAGATTACCAAACAAATGAGCGTAACTGTATGAAACTAATCTTTTATCTATTCAGTCATCTCTTTCAGATTTATATTAAAATGTAGAGGAAGTAAAGAATTCTATGAACTTAGGCAAGTTTTTAAAAGATTTTTACATTTTGATTATATTTAGAATTATATTAAGTACATAAGTCTTTATATTTTCTTCCTTTCATATAGTAGGGATACTTTCAAACTATTGCTAATTTATGTAAGATGATTAAATATGCAGAACGTTGGAGAATATTCATAGCTGAATGATAAAAATGCTTTGAATATGTTACCAGTTATATAAGTATAAAGAAAGGAAGAAAATATGTGAAGTTGTTTATTAGTGAATTTCCTTCATCAAATATTGGCATAACAAATCAAAGGTTGCACTCGGTATTTTATTTCTGATAAATAAATATGACCTGTATTTCTTATAATGCTTACAATCTCAAGAAATATAATATACTTTAGCTAGCTAATAATACAGGAGTTTGGTTCTGAACAATACTTTGGCTCTTACAGCAATTCCCTGTTTGAGAATATGCAAAATAAACTTATCAAGGTGACAAGAAGAATGTGTTTGACCATACTATTCAGCTGCAGAGTTATTCCCAAGTCTGCATGCCACTTTATTATATAAGTTACTCACAAACCTTGCCAAGTTTATGTTGCTCAATCTCCCATTGAGTTTTAATTGGCTTCATGATTAAAATAGAGACACCTTTTTATTTCCCTAAAGCACATTGCAATTCATAAATATATATATTTGGAAAACCAAACTAGGCAACACAGAAATGTACAAAATGACTTGACATGAATGGTATATTAACTGTCACTATGAATATTTTATCTATGAAATGGATGTGGTAAAATCTCACGAAGCTTGACTCTGTTGGAAATGAATGCTGAAATTGGGTAATGTTTTTCTTCTCTGGAGGATACAAATCAATGACTACTTGGTATTTCAGTTTTTCTCTTATAGGAACGATTTATTCTTAATGTGTCATTATCACTCAAACCTTCAAAA